CTCCGCAGGGCGCGGTGAAGCGGCAGGCGCTCTACGCCTGCAGCACCTGCACGCCGCCCGGCGCCGAGCCAGCGGGGATCTGCCTGGCCTGCAGCTACGAGTGCCACGGCACCCACCGCCTCTTCGAGCTCTACACCAAGAGGTACGGGCGAGGGGGCGGGAGCGGCCGTGTAGCACCCTCAGCACCCGTGGCTCCCGATAATCTGCTGGGAATTGTTAAGAATGCAAACCCCAGCGTGTTCTCACTTAATATAACCCTGAATATAAACCCTGAAATGCTACATTTTTCTTTCCAGGAATTTCCGCTGTGACTGTGGAAATAGCAAGTTCAAAAATCTGCAGTGCAAGTTACTCCCGGTGAGTTCAGGCAGGTTTCAGGCATTCGGAGTCAAAATAACAGTCCTGGGAGGTTGGTGCCTTGCCTCAGCCAGTGCTGACTCATGCGACGCCTCCAGTCTTCCCAGGAAGTTAAAAAATGTGGGAATATTATGGCAAGGTATAAAACTGTCGAGGGACCAAAGGCAAGTGTTGGAGGAGAAGGAACATTTGGTCCTTGTCATTCATGAGTGCAGCAGTTCTGCATCCATGGTCAGCACGCTTCCAGAAGCAGGTTGTGGTGTTTCTGCACGAATACATCTCACTAGCTTTAAGCTGTTCCAGAATAATATTTTGGGGTGCAATTTTGCAGCTGGATTAAGAAAATTTAGGTCTGTGCTGCTGTCAGAGGGACAGTTCAGTTTCCTTCTTTGTGGTGGCATTACTGCCCTAATATTTTGTCACTGGAGCCTACTGATGGGGTGGTTTTTTACCATATTAAGCTGCCTATAATTTTATACTTAGTGAGCATTTTGAACTTGCCAAGTAGCTGGCAATCTTCTGGGAAGCAGCCACAGGATGCTGCTTGGCTTGCTTGCAGTGGTGCTCCCAGGATAACAGTCCAAACATCGAAACAGATGATAGTTTTGTGTATGCCTATTTTATTCTGAGAGAATTGAAATGGTTCCACAGCTAGTCAGCAAAGTCATGGTGCAGTGATCCCTACAGAGACACTTCTGACAATTTTAAGATGCTACTATTTCTCATTTGAGTCAGTGAATTGGATCACGTGGTTGTTCCTTCTGCTTCAGCGAAAATTCAATTGTACAGGTTAAGTGAGCTTCAGCATCTGTCCATTAATCTGTGTGACACCACAGTTGCAATTTGTTGCAAAGGTGAGCAGGCTGTTATCTCTGTTTGCTTTTGAACTTTATCATTTCTCATGTGCCCTATCTGCTGCTCAGTGTAAAGCAGAAGTGACTGGAGAATATCTTCCTTTTTGTATATTCAGAAAATAATGAAGCTTTTAGGAATTAAAGGGGAACAGAAACTGTGTTTTTTCTGTGTTGTCTATTGAGACTTTTTCCCTTTTGTCCTAGGAAAAGGGCAAGGTGAATTCAGGAAATAAATATAACGACAATTTCTATGGATTGTACTGTACATGTAAAAGACCTTACCCTGATCCTGAAGATGAGGTAAGACATACAAAATCCAGTAGTAATCATATATAGATGGTGTTTATGTTAGACACTGTGTAAAGGGTGGTCACTGAGCTGTTTTTCAAGGAAGATCCCACTTCAAGAAATCTTATGTTCCATATTGGTTGTCACATGTTGTATGAAGGAATTACTTGATTTTTTTTTTTTTTTAATGGTAAAGGATGTTTATGCCTTAGAAACAGATGAGGAGAACAAATCATGATTTGGACAAAATAGTGCTGCAGTTCCCTGAGGTTGCAGAGTTCCCCTCAGGGACAGGATAATCGTCATCTTGAGAAATGTGACCAGTGCAGAATAAACACATTGCACATGTTAGGAGAGACCAGCACCTGCTTCCCCATGCCTGCAGCAATGCTCTGGCAAGGCTTCTGGGATGGGGAGAGTCTGTCCTGTCCCATAGCACTAGCTACAGTCCTTGATAGTAGCCAGAACACTTTTTTGTCTCTTTGAAATACTAAAACACAGCATTGGCTTTGCATGTGCATGCTGTTGTTTGCAGTCACAGAAAACAGGTGTTTTAAAGAACAGGGAAGGCACAAGTCTTTTAAATACAAAAAAAAAAAAGTATTTTATAAGCTCCCCTCTCTGAAGTTCAGAGACAGCTAAAAACATTTCTGAAGAAATCATTAATAGTTGTTTTGTAACAAAGCACTTCATACTGTCCTGTATGGTGATCAGTTAGGTTCGGTTCTGGCAGGTTTCACAGACCTGATGACAATGTGAATATCAGTATCTTTCTTCTGCTGAGCTGTCTGTTCATGCACTTCTGTTTATAGGAAGAAGGATATACCAGTAGTGTATTAACTTCTATTAGCTTTCTGTAAGAAAGTTGCCCTGCTGGGAGGACTGGTTTTTTAGTAATAAATTGGATTTCCACAGCCTCAGTCATATGAGAGATGACATGTACTGTTGAACCTGAGGGCAAACTGACTAACAAAGCACAAACTGCTTATTAATGGCAGCTGCCTGTGAGGGGTGAAGAGGGTTACTGCAGTTTGAAACTTGTGAAAGATTCTGGAGGTTGCTATTAATGCTAATAATACGATTATTTATCTAGATTCCAGATGAGATGATTCAATGCATAGTTTGTGAAGACTGGTTCCATGGAAGGGTAAGGAAACTATAAACAGCTGAACTGCCATTTGTACAGGAACAAATTGGTATTGGTTAGGTTTGTATGGTAATTCTTACTTGGGAAGTTTGCTGTAGTTCTCAAAAGAGATTATTACATGAGTTCCAAGGCATTTGTTTTCAGCTTATGCAAAGGAGCATTAAAAGTCTGTCTGTCTAAAAGTGCACTGCTGTCCACTCCAGTTAAAATGTACTGGGAAGAGTCCTACTTTTTTGAAGGTTACCACTGCAGAATAAAGTAATAACTTGATAACTGTCTCTTTAATTAGAAAACTCAAATCAATGTAGTTGGTGAGGAAAAGATTCTTACCGAGGCACATCATTATCAACTACCTGAATAGTTCTTCATTCAAATGCCTTTTAAGCTCTGAATTCCTTTAAGTAGCAAGGAACAGACTGTGCTGTTTATTCTTGATTTCAAACTTTGGGGAAGCCTTTTGAAAGCAGCCAAGCACTGTAGTGAGTGCCCTACTTAATGGGTAAGCATTAAGGATTCAGCCTCTTGTGCCTTGAAGGGCACAAGTGAAATTCCATGTTTGAAGTTGCAGGATCAAAGAGTAAAAAAAAGATGATTTGCTTCAATTATGGGTTCTTGTAGATAAACTTCTTTCGTATTAAGTGCAGTAATGAAGAGTGTTGTACTGCATATTATGAGTTTGCAGGAATGTTTTTCAGAAGAAAGCCACTAAGAGCTCTTAATTGCCCAGATAGTTTTCACCAATTTATGGACAATTTCAGTGTATGATCAATACAGATCCTTCACTACTGCGTGCTTGCTTCTTTTTGACAGCATCTCGGTGCAGTTCCCCCTGAAAGTGGAGACTTCCATGAAATGGTGTGCCAGGCCTGCATGAAACGTTGCCATTTCCTATGGGCTTATGCATCACAATTAGCAGGTAAAGAAATTAAGAGATCTGAGCCAGTGTTTTGTGAGCACATATGTCTGATACGTGGCTGTTAATGACATAAGACTGGTTTTAAGTAGTTGGAAAAATTACACTCATTATTTATACTGTACAATCACCTTCAGCAATGGAACATGTGGGGTGCCAGTAACTCGTGTAAAAATACCAAACAGTTTCCATTCTTAAATCTTAATTCTGTGCTGCTTGCTTTTAGTTACTTTATCAAAGATGTCTAGCATAAAATGGATGAAGTTTTAATGCTTAACTCAAGGAACTTAATTTCTAAACTGGATCAAAGAACTGAAGAGCCATCCTAAGGGAAGCAGTGAGACAAACAGTTCTTACAGATGCTGTGAGCAGAAAAGAGTGAATGACAGAGTGACCTGGAATGAATACGTTCAGTGTTAATCAGGACGCACGTCCCCTGTGGTCACACCAGGCCTCTCTCAGCTCCGTGGACTTAAAAGAACAGATGACTTGATCTCTGTGGAAAGAGCTAGTTTCTCATAGTCTCCTAAAATTGCTGCTTGTATAAACTGCTGATAAATTTCTCGTGTGCCCAAAATTTCAGTGATATTTTCAAGGATGGCTACCTGGAGCTCTTTTCCTTCTAATGTAAATCATACATGGGGCATTTGTCTGTTTTTGGTTTTCCTTTTTCTAACCAGCTTTGTTACAGGGCACATACTTAAACTGGCATCTCTTAATAAAGAACTCTCAAATTGTGATACCCTGTTCCCTCTCCTAGGGCTTAGATTTTGGGAAGCAGAGTATTTTAGAGTAGGAGAAGCAGAGAGAATGTCTGGAGGGATCTGTACGTTTTCTGGCACGGTATTTTTACTTGTGGGTATGTATCTTCCAGTTCCTCCATTGACCAAAGCAAACTCCCTTGAAGATGAAGGGATTGTCCTGAAGGTAGAGGAAAGTGAAGAGCAAAAGAAAGAAATAAAAAAAGAAAGTGGAGTGGAACACCATAACACAAAGGAAGAAAAGCAATCAGAACAATTTAATGAGCCATCCACTAGCTCTGGGTCTGCCTGTCCTGAGGTAAAATGTACCTTCTTTTCTGACCTGCACATCTTCATGCTGCTGATAGTTGAAGTGAAGCCCACCCTGCTCTGTACAGGCTCAGGGTAGGGGTGGCCAATGTGTTCCCATGTTCCTCTTTAGTCACTGACCCTTCAGAGCTGCAGTCTCTGTGGAGCACAGCATAGGCTGTGGAACAGGGCTGTCAAGAGGTGTCGTGTCTGTTTGTAGATGGGCTGTCCCTTCTTCTCAGCCACCTGGTCAGTGCACTGAGGTGACTTCTGTTTGTTCTAATACGTGGTGTAGCTACACTTGCATGATGGTCCAGCTCTGAGTTCTTAAATACAGTTATTGCAGTAAATTTCTACAGAAATTTCCTGTGGAAATTTGCTCATCACATCAGAATTCTCATGTGGATGGTAATACAGGTTGTTTATAAAAATGTGTTTGAGACAAAAGAAAATTCTTGCCTAAAGAAAAGGCTAAAAAAATAGGGTCTCTTTGAAGTGATGTTATGATGTTAGAGTGCTGAACATTCTCATTTTAATTCAGGTAGTTACTAAGAGTGAGGAGCCACTCTGCAAGCTAAAAGAGCTCCAAAGCAAGCCATTTGTGAAAAAAGATACTGCCACCTTTTGGCCATCGAACTGGAGGAGCAAGTTGTGCACTTGTGAAGACTGTTTGGTATGTATGTTCTCTTCATTACCACCACAGATGTGGGAGAGGCAGGGAGGAGCTCCCAGACAATCACTGAGAAGCTTTAGGTAAAATCTGTGTAAATATTCCTGGCACTGAAACTGCCTTCACTCCACATAAAGATTCACACTGAATCCTATGAAATTAATATAGCATGGAAGGGCTTCTAAATGTTTGTATTTTCTTTGCTGCTTAAATCCAGTATTGCTTGGAAGTTTTTATGAGGAGATTCTGAAATACTGGGTACAGATTCATGGTTTTATTTTTATTGTGGATAAAACAACAAGGATTGTGGGAGAGTACCTCCATCTGAGAAGTTTGTCACATAAAAGTAAATTTTACTTTATTCTCCAGAAAATGTACTCAGAGCTTGAAGTCCAGTTCCTGACAGACGAATGTGACACTGTCTTGGCTTATGAAAATAAGGGTACCAGTGACCAAGAGACAGAGAGGAGAGATCCTTTAATGGACACCCTTAACAGCATGAACAGAGTCCAGCAAGTGGAACTCATCTGTGGTAAATAGAACTTCATTTTTAGAATCTACTTTAACTGAACAGTTTGCTACGAGAGATTGATGTAAGGCCTTGCAGTGTAGTCTTGAAGTATTTTTGAAGTAACATGTAAACAACTGTATGACAGGTTGCACACCTCAGTCAGGATTGGTCCTCTGTGGCCCATCATTACAACTTTAATTTACAGTGAGACACTAGATGGTGTGTGAACTTTCACCTTGTTTAACAACTTAGATACTGTAATGATAGTGATTTATTGTAATGCGAATATTTAAACATTAATTTGGACTTTTGCTGTCTGGCTGATTTATCTTACCCTCTTCTGTTGTTTGGCAATCTCCTGTTGGCTGGGGACTGCCAGCCAGGCATCCCCTGTAGCTGTGCTGCAGAGCATAGTGACAAGGCAGTGCTGAGGTGTTTTAAACCTGGAGCTGTGTTTCTGTCTTGCAGTCAGGGCTCTGTACTCTGGCCAGGACAGTGTCCCAGTCCCGAGTTACTGGCTGGGCCTTCCCACCAAGACCCACACATGCTTCTGTGGGGGGAAGCTGGGAGCAGGGGCAGTCTTTTAGTTAATTGTACTGATTCACTCACTGATCTCTGTACCTTTCTCTGAAATCAGCCCAAACAGACACTCACACTACATAGGTTAGTTTCATGAATTATTAGGTTTCTTATGTTTACATTACTATTGTTATTGTTATTATTATTATTATTAATAATAATAATCTAATTCAAACATAGGTTTGTCTGAAGTAAACCTAACAAATGACAAGAGGAGGTAGAACGAGTGTTCTTGAGCCATTGTTAAACTAAAACTGGGTATCTTACTGGTTTTGTTTTTTTTTTCTTTGCATTTGCTTTGCCATCCAGAGTACAATGATTTAAAGACGGAACTGACTGACTATCTCAGGAGGTTTGCAGATGAGGGAACGGTAAGGAGCAGCTTCCAGAATTTGTTTGCCAGAAAATGTGTTTTAAAGAACTGTTGAGGGCTGGGTGGTGAATACCATGATGTTCTGTTGTGATATTTTCTCTTGTCTCTTGGAGTTGCTGGAACTGCAGTAGAAATCAGAAATCCCTTATTTCATACAATTTTAACAATTCCTTAATGACATTGTTGAGACATAATGGGAACTTTACAGAAATCTGTCTGCAAGGTACTGAGAGAAGTTCTTACATTTAAACGAAACTTCTCTTGCTCTAGGTAAGATACTCAGGAAGAAAAGCTCTTAACTTTTCTGGGTTTTTTTTGCATCAAATCTAAACCCTTAGAAGAGTAAGGGCTGATTGTGATTATCAGTCTTATCAGTTGTTTTCCTGCAGGAATTTTCAGGCTGTTATTAAGTAAAACTTGCATTTTGTTGGCTAACTTGCTGTATTGCCATTCTTAGTTACATCCGAATAACCCTGAAGTGAACCAGTGAAAATCTTGCTTTGTGTTAAATTTTCTGATGGTAAAAGCAAGAGGTCGGAGTCATTGAAATACCACTGGGAGCTTTGCTCCATGTGTTTGTTCTGCCTTTGGGGAACTTGTTTCCCTGTTTGTATTATCTACAATAGAATTTGGGCATTAATCCTCTCCTTCAGGTGCAACAGGAAAGCTGTACCAGAGAAATTTCAGGGTATTTGCTTTTCTGTGCTTTGTGTATTATGTGTGGAGATACAGCAGGATCCGTTAATTAAGTTCTTGCACCACAACTTGGGTTTCATATTGCTTCTCCTAGGTGGTTAAAAGAGAAGACATTCAGCACTTCTTCGAAGAATTTCAGTCTCGGAAAAGGCGACGGACTAACAGGATGCAGTACTACTGTAGTTAGACTGAGAGGGTTTGGGTTGAAAGGACAACTGGCAAAACAATGTTCACTGGCAAACAGAAAAAACATCTTCAATTTTTGGCTTCTCATCAAAATCCAGCTGTCCAAGAAACATCATCATTTTGTCTTAGACTTCCTTCATTCGTATCACTTAAAACATGGGCTTAACAAATCCTTTCATTGCAGTTAGAGGGATTTCAGTACCGGCCGACTTTGCATTCCCGTGAAAGCCAGCCTTGTTTCCAGGGGAGGAGGGTATTACCGGAGCAGTGTGTCCTGCTGCTTCCCCTTCGCCTCTCCCCTGCTTACTGCCAGGGCCTGGAGCCGGGGCTGTGCTAAACCGGGGGCAGGGAACGCGCTCCCGGCTTTCCTGCTTGAATGGCTCCTTCTCCCCCCTTCGGGCTGTAGCGATTCTGGGAGGGCCCCAGCACCGAGGAGCTGCCGGTTCCTGCCCTGCCGTGGCTCCCCAGGGCCTGGCTGTGGCTGAGCCCAGCGCTGCTGCCTGCCGGCTCCTGCTGGGGAAGTGCTCCCCCGGCTGCTCATAAATGGGAAAGCAGAGCTTAGGCTTGATGCAATCTGGTTTTATACATTAAAAAACATATTTATAGTATTGGACAGGGATGGTTTCTCTGGTAAAAAAATTGTCAGACGATTTTAACTCACTTATCGGACCATAAACAATAGCTAGGAGGAGGTACTAAATTACAAACTAAAAATGGGGGGGTTGTTATGTGCTTTGATTTTAAAATCTAGCCTACAGCAAATTCTTCTACTTTATAAATGTTGCTAAAAACACTGCAGCATCCTGGTATTTTGCTATAGTATGGAATGTTCTTTTTATAACCACTGAGAGTCATGGGACAGGAGATGTTTCACTGACTTTTAAGACTACACTTAGATGCAATTAAAAATTAAGATTTTGTAAGTTTGGAACCTAATGTAGTTAGCCCCCAAAATGTACGTTAAAGTTCTAGTTTTTGAGGATTTCTATATCATGGGGTACTATTCTGCTTCCGCGTTAATGGTTTTTGAAAAGCAAAGGTGACTTTTATCATTCTCACTATTGACTGTTTCTGACCATTTTATTTACAAACAGTAGTTTAGCATAGATGCTCAGCTGAGCAGTTTCATAGGACATGTAGTATGCTGAGTTGGAAGGGACCCATCAGGATCATCACATCCAACTCCTTGCCCTGCACAGGACACCCCAAAAGCCACACCATGTGCCTGAGAGCATTGTCCAAACACTTCTTGAACTCTGCCAGGCTTGGGGTGCTGTGACCACTTCCCTGGGGAGCCTGTTCAGTGCTCAACCACCCTCTGGGTGAAAAACTTTTTCCTGATACCCAATCTGAACTGTCCCTGACACAGCTTCAGGCCATTCCCTCAGTCCTGGCACTGGGCACCACAGCGATGAGCTCAGTGTCTGCCCCTCCTCTTCCCCTCACGGGAAGTTGTAACTGCAGTGGGGTCTCCCCTCAGCCTCCTCCAGGCTGGACAGACCAAGTGACCTCAGTTGCACCTCATACAGCTTCTCCTCAAGGTCCTCCTGGCCCTCCTTCGGACGCTCTCCTAACATCTTTGTATGTACTTTACATTGTGGCAGCCAGAACTGCCCCCAGCACTCGAGGTGAGGCTGCCCCAGCTCAGAGCAGAGCAGGACAATCCCCTCCCTCGCCCGGCTGGTGATGCTATCCATGATGCCCCCAGGACGTGGGTGGCCCTCCTGGCTGCCAGGGCACTGCTGGCTCATGCTCAATGCCTCATCGACCCCCAGGGCCCTTTCCTAGCTGCTTTTAAATTTAACTCTGGGTATTGTACATGCTCTTTTTTGGTAGCAACTGTTACGGGAGCTGTAACTACACATCTAACTACAATATAAAAAAATTAAAAGAACCATTCACTGTGTGTTGTCTTGTTTTCTCTCAGTGGTGTTGGAGTGTCTTGTTTCCATCCATGATCCAGGCAGACACAGGGAGCCAAGTGATTACCTGTTAGCCAAGCCACCAGGGTGTACAAGCCCAGGATTCACAGACCTTTGTTTCCACCTGACCCAGGTGTGAAACAAGGGATTGCAGCCTGCTGTTAAGTACAATTTAAAGCAGCACAGGGTCATGTTTCTTCTGTGCTGCAGATTCTGTAATTCTGTAATTCACTAGAGGAGTGGGGGAGAGGGTACCCAAAGACAATTGTGTCTTCCACAGGAAATAAAAAAGCAGTGAAAGGCCCCAGTGATCACAGAAATGGTTTACAGCCCAGCACCAGCCTTGCTGTGCTTGAGAAAATACAGTAGTGATGGAAGGAGTGAGTTCAAATGTGGAATTCCTGTGGCTCCCATTGCAGAGCACAGGACCAGAACTGACCCCAAGCACTGTCCATCCCTGGCATCAGCCTGTACTGAAGCAGGGTCCACCCAAAGGGACCCAGCTCCAACAGTCCTCCCTTCCAATGCTGAAAGCCTCCTCTCAGCAGAGACATCAGGCATCCTCTCCTCTGAGGCTGGCAGGCTTAGAAGCACTGTTGCAAAGAGACAGAAAGACTGTAAAAAAAAATGTTAAAATTCTCTAATTTCGGAAGCTCCTACAACTCATCTTCTTGGGTGTGGGGGTGAAGGTGTCAGTAATTAACATGTGGGACCACACAGTTCTCGCTCTCCTCACCCACCTGTGCTGTCAGGATGTAACTCGCAGTATTTTGCTCTCCTCCATCAGAGTGAGACCAGGCACGTGGCCAGATGACACTTCTGAACTTCAGTCACTGCTCTGAAGAAGTGAGGCACTTGTTTCTGAGAGATGGAATGAACAGTCAGCTGGAATAGTCGGCAGGGAAACTGCAGCCTGGGACTGCTGGCTACTGAACACATCTGTCAGCTGCTCCGATGAGAAAATGAACACACACTTCCTTGCACCCAGCTCTGAGCAGCCCCATTGCCTTTCACAAGGCATGGCCTCAGCCAGCTAGGCTCTAGCCAGAACTCAAAGAATTACTTTACTGAAACGCTTTTCATTTTTTATTAACTGCCTGAGCAGAGTGACTAACTTCAAATCCCTCTTTTACATGGCTTGTATCACGTCTGTGGTGCTCACAGCATTATTATGCACCTTTTTTCCCAAAAGCCTTTACGCTCGGAGGGCGCCTCTCTGTATTGCTGGGCTCCTTTCCCCGGCCCAGCCACGGCAGGCTGGAGTGAGCAGGGCAGGGTGGTGGGTGCAGCCTGCTCAGGGGCAGCAGCAGCTCAGGGGAAGCAGCCACACAACCACGTTCTATACAAGCCATTTATTTGAAATGCCAACTATACGTAGGATAAAGTCAGTGTTACATGCTTCTCAGCAACAGTAGAAAAATAGAACCAGTGAAAACCTTTTTACAACTGTAATGGTACTCAAAAGAGAAATGTATTGTTTTACAATGCATCACACAAGACTAGAATTCAAGTTTGGAGGTACCTAAATAAAAATACTATTTTTTGTTTAAAAAAACACTATGTACAATTGAAGCGTAAACAAGTTTTACAAAGTACTGGTTATGCAGGTTGTAGAAAAAACACTTGCATAGGACATGAAGTCAGTTTAAGAAAATTTTCTGAGCCTTTAGCATTGAAGGCACTTGACTTTATACCAGTAACAACACAAGGACAAGAAACAAATCCTTAACGCTGCCAAGGGCAGGGCTGCCTTCTGGCAGTACAGGTAATTACAGAAACCCCAAATGCGGTTTTACAGGTTTCCCTCTAAGCTGTTCCCTGCATCCAGCAGGGCTCAGCACCACCTCTACCATAGAAGCATAGAATTATGAGAACAGTGCCTCCAACAGCATTAGTGTTCTTTCAAAAAAACCAAAAACAACCAAAACAAACCAAAAACCCACACAAAACACCCAACCCCCCTAGGCCCCACCCCTTCCTGAACCCAAACTAAAGAAACCCCTAAAGACATACATTTGGGACATTTTGGGATCAAAACCCAAGGCTTACAAGTACAGGTGGCCACAGCCTTAATTTTCATACATGAAAATCCTTAAGAACAGGAAAATACAACATGAAACTGCCAATCAACACAGCAGTTACTAATACACAACTACAATAATTTCGTGGAACAACAAAACATTTCAAAGGAAGAATGTGTTTTAGGAATTAAGTTATTCATCCATATATTAAGGAAAGGAGGAGTTGGGTTTGGGGCAAGGGGAATAAGACCTTTTTGCATGTTGCTCACTAAATGCAAGTCTGAGCTCTCTCTTTAATAGAACAAGGAGCATGAATCTCCCTCATTCAAAAAAAAAAAATATGTTTATACCTCTATCCTCAAGCAAAATAATCAATAATCTGTCATCTCCATCTAATTTATAGGAGGAAAAGGTGTCAATTTCCAGCCTAGTCAGAAAGTGCTTCATGTAAACAAGGAGCTTCTGCACCAAAGTTTCAGTAGACAGAGAACAAGGAGTAGCAGGTAGCACAGGTACGTGTGGTGTGTGAGATGAAGGATGAACACTGGCTTCTGAATAATGCTGCCATGAAAAATGCACATCCCAAGTAGGAAATCCTGCTCTGGAGTACAAAAATCAAGTTCCAGTAATTCAAGAAATCCTTCTTTTCCACTTCAAGCCAGCTGCCATTAGCTGCCATCTTCTTCCCAATCCAAAATATGCAAGTGAAAACACAGATTGTCTACATGGCCTGATTGTCTTTGTGACCTCAGAAGGACTTGTCTTTTATTCTGTATCTATTTTTAAACTTTATTCATTCTTTTTTAATACTGTTCAGTTCCTGAGACTTCAGAAACCATTTTGTATTCTAAAATGCAGACATGTCCTCCCCAGAGGCATTTGTCACCAGCTTATTCCAAAGCCAAAGCATTTCATGATTTTACTCAAACCATAACCTCAAAACTTCCCATCTTCATCAGCCACATCCCCCCTAAATTTCAAGCTTTCAACTTCTACCTATAGATCTCAGTCCCACCTCTGCCCAAGTACACAGTGCCACATCAACCTATGATAATCAAAATAGTTATCTTGAAGTACATCTATCAGTTTTAGGCAAAAATATTGAGAATAAGAAGTTTTCTGAGGACAGCTGTAATTTTTTAGTAGTTAAGCTGCCAACACACACATGATGCAAGTCCAAGGAGTTTCAGGGTTCTCATGTGTGCTGAAAGTTATTGGTTCAAGTGAGC